AAATTCAATGATGCGTTTTAAAGGAGAGGACTCCATAATTCACTTCTAATAATTGTTCATAAATTTCCTTTGCTTTTAACCATTTCAGAACGAAGAATCTAATCATATATTCAAATTTTTTCATACTTGACATGTAACTTTTCATGTGTTCTCACGACAGATTTACCAACTTGAGAAAAAAATAATGTGGAGCTGGTAGCGATATTTCTTAGTGAGACTAACCAACCTGTATGTGTACCCTAATCTGCACGTGATTAGTTATAACCGTTATTATTTTTCGATGTAATTCCTTACACTTCATGTCTAAATAGTATTTCATCAAACCAATTTCGCGAATCATCATTTCGTTTTTCGCTCTTTACAATGAGTCCTCTTGTAACATATGCTAACAGTTATATAACAGTTTTTCATTATCTTCATAAAAAATTTAAAAAAAACAACATGTCTGCAAAGCGTCTACAATTGCGGCATTCCAGATAAAACGTCACAACCAGATCAACCCACAACTCCATTAGACGCGCTTTAGGCACTGCAGTCAACAAAACTACTCCGTTGAATATTCGATTGTGCAGCACATGTGGATTCCCTGCTAATATTAGTGTTGTTCTTGCTATGACTGCTGTGCCGCATGTCACTTGTGGTTTTGTCTGCACATTCCCCTCCGCCGCCAAGTGAATTATAGTCGCTAGCAGAACAGCTGGCAAAAGCAAACCCTTGCAGTCGACGATCTAAACTCTATAAAATGAATATTTACTTTACAGTCGTGGCCCTTGCCATTTCACACTTTCACCTAACTACAAAGCCACGTGTAGTAGTGGTTGTGTGAATAAAAATATACAGCAAGAAAAAATAAAAATGTTGTGGGAGTAACGAAAATATTTGCAGCTCTATGGTGCTCACAAATGTAGCGAGTTGAAAGTGTGGCAAGTGCTCCTAAGTCAGTTTGTTGTGCCACAGGCCCCACAAGTGCAGCGCCACCGACAACGACGACGACGACGTACAAGTTAATTAATTGTGCTTTCCATGCCAAAGACAACGTTGCAACCGACACGAAATTTAACAAAATGATGCAAAGGTGCTATGATGGAGGAAATGGTGGGATGGGGGTGAAGTGGCATGCGGATAACGGCCAGAAGGCAGCTGACGTCGGTTGTGGCGCTGACGCCGCAATTGTTGAACACAAGTGCATGCGAACTTCCATATTATATGAGCATAATACTGAGAACATATTCATGCTCATTTCGCACATGCTACGCGAAGCAACGGAGGCGTCGAAAAATCAACACAGCACATCAGATCACATCCTCAAAAATTGCCTTAAGCGCAACAGCGTTCTTGCCGACAACAACAAATATAGATGAGATAGCATTAGAATATAATACATATGTTTGTCAATCTGGACTCCGCATCGAAGTTACCGACCAACAACAAAAGTGTTGAATATACATAGTCCAAAATCAACAGATTCCCCTCCTCTTATCACTTATACCTTCTTTATATGTATGTGTTTAAATATACAGTTATGGACAAAAAAATAAGGTCACGCTTTCAAATTTTGCAAAGATCAATATAAACAGCTATTAAAATGAATTAATTCAATAGGAATAGTTTTATCTACGTTTTCATTGTGAATGCAAAAGCAATATTGAACTGAAAAAAAACTGTGGACATAATTTATAACCATTAAAATCTCACGAAAATTTCATTGGATATATAAAAATAGGTTCAACACCAAAAAAGGATTTTTGAACTAAGAAATTATGTATGTTTAAATAAGTTTTAAAATTAATATTTACTAGAACATATTTTGCATACACAGCTTATTTTTTCCAAATCCCATCATTGCTTTTCTCACTCTCTTAGTTTTCTTACTATACCTATTTTATTTATATTTTACTTCGCGTCAGCTAAAATTGTATTGAAATCATATTAAAATGAGATATATGGGGTACAAACTCGACTGAAAAAGCTAAATTTAATAAAATGAATTGATGTGAACACGTCAACCAAAGGATCGCAATTCATTATTTTAGGAATATGAGGTTTGGACCAATGTCTAGACCAATTTCGTTCATATTATCACACAATTTTTAAGAAAATTGGTTCGTTTTATTTTATTAAAGACTCACACATTTTTTAAGGTGGAAAGATGGAAATTATTATAGAGGGTAATTCGTACATATAGACGGATATACGTTTAAGGCATAAGGCTAACCGCAAGTTTGAAAATCTTATGTTAGGTATATGAGATATAGGGGTAGTATTGATCCGATTTTATCTAGTTTTGGCAATACAACTTACTATTAACATAATAAAATGCTCACTCATTTCATTAAAGTACCTCACATACCGTCACCAACATATATAGAGTAATAATAACAGATATTATATATATACTTATTTAAGGCACAAAATTGCACCATTAAACGAAAAATACATTATCTTAATTTTATTAAGATATCTTTGAAGTAAACCAAAAGTTCGAAAAATTTCGATAAGGTATATGTTATTTCCAATAAAAAGTTAGCACCAGGCACTGTGGTCCCCATATTCCGTAACTGGGGGATTGAAAAGTTATTGTCCGATTTTGAAAACTTTCTGGTGATACCTCAAAAGCAAATTTTTGAAACAATGAAAGAATCGTATAGAATTTAAAATTTTGCTTAATAGGAGTTAGGCGTGGTTGTAGTCCGATTTCGCTCATGTTCTCATTGTGAGATAGGATTGTTAATAAAATTTAATGTCTCTGACGCATTTATCGCACCTTTAGTAGTTTTTAACAAAAACTTTATATGAGAAGTGGGCGCGGTTAGCATCCCATTTCATCCATTTTCACACTCGAAGAAAGTGTCAAAAATATTTATTCTGGGAAAATTTGGGATATATAGATGCCTCTCCCCAATGCAATTCTCTGTACCATACTACAGATTTATCTCCTAATTTAGTGCTTAGTTAAGCCGTTTTATAAGTTTTCGATTAATAGCGTTTTGTTCGAGTGGCAGTGGTCCGATTACGTCCATCTAAAATACCAAACTTGTCATGGTGCCTGGGAACATGAGTACCAAGTTTCAGCAAGATATCTCACTTTTTACTAAAGTTAAAGCTTGCACAGACGGGCAGACAGTGACCTGTTCATTTATATATATATATATATTACCCTATATCTAGCTCGATAAGTTTTGGGTGATACAAACAACCGTTAGGTGAACAAAACTATTATTATACTCTGTAGCAACATGTTGCAAGAGTATACAAATATTGCGAAAGAATTCAACAGTCATTATTCGACGAAATCTTGAATGGATTGCAATAAAATTTGGTCAGCTATTAAGTTATGTTATAGGTCATAGGCTCACTTATTTTTATTCGCATCAACTAAAATTGTATTTCAAATGAGATATACCTAAATTTAATATATTGAGTTTATGTGGAAAAAGTCAACCAGAGGATTGGAACCCATTATACCTATAATATTAGGGATATGAGGTTTATACCAAGGTTTACACCAAATCCTTACATATTTAGCGCAAAAGCATTAACACAATTTTAATTTTAAAGTATCACACATTTTGACCAACCTTAACAGTTTATAGTCAGCTGATCTTGTTACAGTAACCGTTGACAATGTTAAGGTATACTCGAGAACATATTTTCGAGCAATTTTATAAGTAACTAACTTACTCCCTGACCGACATATTCGGCATAAGGCTTGTAAAAATAACAAAAATCCTTTTATGCACATATGTAATATATGGGAATTGGGTATTTCGAATATTAAATTCACATTTTTTCGGCGTAATACAAGACTATAGTATAACTACTATTATACGTCCATTTAAGTTTTCTAACGATACCGCACATGCAGCCCGATATATGCGGAATAAAGTCATATAGAAGTTACAAAATTTTACATTAGGTATATAAAAGAAGGGATGATTTTGACCCGATTTTATCTATTTTTGGCACTACTACATATTGCTAACGGAAAACAAGCAAGGAAAGGCTAAGTTCAGGTGTAACCGAATATTTTATACTCTTGCAACGATCAAGGGTCAAAACCAGGGAAATACCTACGTTCTGTTAGAACAACGTAACTCAATATATGTGGTATAGTTTGGGTAATTTGTGCTAAGTTTTATCGCAATACATTCGTTGGCGCTTGATATATACAGTTTTCAAACTTCCGCTTGGCCTTTTACCATATATACGAATTACCCCCACTCCCATATAATACATATAATGGTTTCCGTTTTTCTAACAAGCCTTATGAGGAATATCTTGTTCAGTGTGTGAGTTACATATTGAAAAAATTTCTTAAAAATATGTTCTAAAGTATACCCCTATGACCCCAATACAGCATATACATATATAATGATTTCCGACTTTCCATTTAATTTTAAACCCTACAACCGTATGCAAGGATTTAGTGTAAACATTGGTATAAACCTCATATCCCTAATATAATGAACTCGCACCCTCTGGTTGACGTTTTCCACATCATCTTAATATATGAATATGTGATACCCACTAATGATTTGCCTTAAGTACTCAATAGTTCCCGTCAAAGGATCCCAAAGTGACCCTATTACTTTGTCCACAACCATATAAATACGTAAGCATGAGTGAGTATATTAGCGCTGCAGAATAATTTGATTTTCCAAAAAGACTACGGAGTTCCGGCCTCTAGGGTGAGTAGTTGAGAAGTATAGTTTTTATATTTCTAGCTATGGGCTTAGGGTTATAAACAGGGAAGGCAAAAAGTTAAAATATGCTCGGTCATAGTCATATAAATGCCAGGGAAATTGAACATACACGTATGCATATAGAAATTCCAAGTGTTAAAAAATGTTATAGAATGAAAAACCTATGTGTTGATTATCAGTAATGACGTAATTGGGCAAATAATTCTGACGACTTACGCCAAATTTTTCAAAATGTATCTCTACTTCAAAAACATACGAAAATATTAATCGACAATTCTTCATTTCGAATACTTGCAGAATCCCATCAATAGAAATACACGAATGGAGGACGGCATTCTGTTGTCAATGATATCAAATCATCTATTTTAATTGGAAATATTGTTCAAGTTGAATTACAGAAATGCACTACTGCGATCCATTAAATTTTGGGCTCAAAACCGGTCCCGAAATTTAATATTACCAAATAAGTCTCGGCTATTGTATATTTCTGCTTTCTTGCAGAATCCTTGTCCGATAGCATCAAAAGAAATGCCACAAGTCGGAAAAATTGACTTTGTGTCACATTATGTTTGTTGGCTCTTTTATATTACAATATTTAATACGCACGTCCATAAGTGCACATATAAGAAGCAATACAAACAGTAAAGTAACTGTTTGGCCAAGAGCTGTCTAAGTAACCCAAACACTGGCACCACCCGAGCTTAAGCAAACAGTGCCACAAATCTGCATATAAAAGGCACATTGCACTTTTCTGATGTTGAAATAACAGGAAGCTGTACCTATGTAAATAGTTTGCATTGGAAAAATTGAAAAGAAACCTCATGAATAAATACACTTAGAAAAATAAAATAGTGATAAAAAAGTTGAACTTTTTTAGAGAAAAGATATTGCGAAAGATTTACCTTTTGCTCTTACCGTGTCTTACATCGGTATTATAGTATTTTTGTACACTCTCTCTCTCTCCCTCCCTCCCGAAACTTTTATGTATTTTTATCTATGCAACTTCAACTCTGTCATGAATGCAATGCAGAGTTTTATCCGAAGTGTTTAATGTAAATGAGAGATCATGAACGACTGCTAAATTAAGGGTGGGCCAAATGCTCTTGATCTTACCCAAAGCTACAGATCTTACCCAAAGCTACAGAAATTCAAATATTTTTTGGATATATCTAAAGTGAAGTTTACAAGGTAACCCTTCTAGGCAAAAAATGGAAACATTTTCTCTAACAAAAATTAAGCCGACAATCAAAAGCCAAATGAAATTTTTACCACCCTGGCCTGTTTTGAGAAAGCTCTTATCTTCAAGTTCGTTTTGCAAATAACAGAACTTAATACAATTACTTGTGTTTCTATTTTCCAAGATGATCCGAAATAACATAGGAACTGTGCAATGCAAGGTTGCAAGAAACTTTCTTTTCTTTATGAAGTGTGTTTGATTCGAACAAAATCACATTTCTAATTTCTAGTCTGACGTTGTTTGCTAAACGTGAAAAATTTAACAAAAAATCGAGCAAAAGCTACCGAAATTCAAATATTTTTTTTAATATATCTAAAGTGAAGTTTACAAGGTAACCCTTCTACAATGTTTTTATTTACTTATTATTTTATTTATTATCTTATTATATGAAAATGTATAAAATTATTATTCTCCAAAACTTTATGGCTATTCTAAACATGACACATCAATATTACAGGTTGCCAAATAAAAACCACCCTAATGTACACTAAACTGTACTTGGATAGACCCATGAATGCACCCAAATATGTATACACATAACAAGAAAAAACGTTAACTTCGGTAGCACAGAAGTTATAATACCCTTCATAAATACAAAAAAAAATCCGTAACTTGATATTTATCCGTCAGTTTTTTTGGCAGCTATATGCTATAATGATCTGAACTGAATAGTTTCTTCAAAGACTACATCATTGCCTCAGGCAATAACCTATGACAAATTTCCTGAAGATATATGGTCAAAAGAAAAAGCTTTCCACACAAGCACTTGATCCGATCATTTACTTTGTATGGCAGCTAATTGCTATGGTGGTTGGATATCAACGGTTTCGCAAATATGTAGCTTCTCGGTTAAAAAGGACGAGTGCAAAATTTCAGATCGATATCTCAAATATGAGGGACTATTTTGCGTTTATACAGAGAGGCGGCAATGGCTAAATCGACTCAGCTCGTCATGCTGATAATTTATATCATCGTAGCAATCTTAATATACTTTTACTCTGTTCAGGGTATAGAAACGTATATATCACACCTACTTACGTGTGTACAAGTAGATATTTCAATATTTAAATAAAGTAAGTCTTCAGGCTAAAGGCAATAATTATGGCGACGACAGTGATGATTGAAAAACGCCACGAATTATTTGTACGAGTACAAGCGCCACAACATCCCGGTGAATATGTAAACACCGAGGGTGAAATAAGAGGGAAGAAAGGCGATGATGAATGCCATAAAGTGCAGACGATAATTTCCCATTAATACTCTTCCTGATTGGGATTTGGAATTGGGATTGCGTTTAGGATTTGTGCATTGACGTTGGCGTTGAGGCAGAGATGGATTTTATTGAAGACTGGTACATAGTAAATTGAGCTTCAATCGCTTTCGGATTTTGTCACTGCAGAGTTTGCTACCGAATGTTTGTAGGTATTTCCACTTGTTTGCTCGTCTCCCTTGATTATATTTGGTGCTAATATTGGTGTCCGCTCACACTATTTGTAATTTGTATATGACATACGAGTAGGTAGATAGTTATGAGTGAGATCGTTAAAACGAGTTATTAATTGCTGCAATGTGTTGAAACTAAATTGAATTTTCCAAGTTCTCATTTCGGTACTTTTCAATCAGCTTCGTAAACTGGACTTAACTAAATTCAAAATGTTGACTTAAAAAACTGCAGGAAAGTTAAAGAGTTTCAGAGAATTTTTTGATTAAATTCGATGAAGATGGCCATTCTGTGGATGGCTAACAAAATTGGAAAGTGATTCGGCATTAAAAACTGACGGTGCATATTACGGTGGGTGGGTAAAAAAAAGCTAATTGCTAGAGTGGTTCAATATCGGCGGTTCCGCAAATGTGCAGATTCTTGGGGAGAAAAGGACAAATCTGAGGGACTAGTTCGCATATTTGCAGACAGACGGACATGGCTAAATCGACTCAGCTCGTCATGCTGATAATTTATATCATCGTGGTAAACTTAATATACCCTGTTCAGGGTATGAAAATGTATATATCACAATTACATACTTGGGTACAAGGATATATTTCAATATTTAAATAAAGTAATGTTTTTTTCACTTAGTACTCCGAAAATTCTTCTAAGAAACGCTCTCCAAGTATCATCTTAATTGTAACGGGTAGGTCATTCACTTTATCGTTATCTATTTTTTCTTATTATCAAATAGAAAAACTCATATCCGTCTTTGGATTTTGTAAAAAAATTGAATGCTCCACATAATGGTCTCTCACGGTTTTTCATAAACTCAACCATTCAAAAGATATTAACGGTTGAAGTTTGACTATTTTAAAACAATTTTTTTTTTTTTAATACTATAACTCATTGAAAAAATATCATAGTATTCTAAATTACAAAGCTTATAGTCTTGTAGAAAATTTTAAAATAAAAATTGTCTATAAAATGTTTTCATCAAATAAAGCGTTAAACATCAATGCCTAACATATCCAATGAAACCACAAAGAAACAAAAAAAAATAAAAATAAAAAAACGAGAAAAAAATAGATAATTTTTATAGAGCAGTAAATTTTATATAAGACTATGAGCTTGGGAATTTTAAATGATGGTTTTACTATATTATTTATAGAACTCAAAAGAAAAAAAACAAATTTGTCTTAAATCAATCAAACTACAACCGTCTTTCTTAGAGGCAATTTTTCGGAGTACCAGGTGAAAAAAACATTCGTTTATTTTTTTTTACCCACCCTAATGCATATGACCTTGTGCCAAGAGATTTATAAAATGCTATTCGGCGTCTAAAGTAACATTTATTCTCCAAAGAACGAAACGACAGATGTGCAAACATGTTTTTTTTATCATGTGCCACAAACAGTTTAGATTTTTCGACAACCTCCTCTAAACTACAATACATTATTGATTTTATTTTGTCACTACCAATCTGTTATCTGAGTGTGATATATTATTAAAGTTAACCAAGAATATTCGTTAGCGTAATCAAACTCAGTGAAACCATAAAACGGTAAATAAGAAGAACACAAATGCCCAGTTAACTTTATGCCGAAACAGATATAGTTTAGCAAATTTAAAACCAGAGAACATGCAGAACGGTTGAAAGTAAAGGTGAAGGCTTTCTTTACGATGAATTGCTTTGTTCGACTTCCTTTCAGCCCCAAATTTTCTTTCGCAAATATCATATATTGCTTCAACACCGCGTCACGGGAGTCCCTCTAGTACTTAAACAAATTACTATTTCTATTTTTATATGCAAAATAACATAAATATTGAATATTTATGATTTTCTGAAGCTCATTTTGTGAGTAGCGACACAGTGTGCATTTCTATTTTCGTACATGTCAAATGCATATACCAGAAATTGAATTGTGTCAAATTAGTCGAGTTTTCTGTAACTCAATACTCCAAGTCATGCTGATACTGTGACCGCAAATACAAATGTGCTTGCTCGGACTTTAGTACCCCAGAAAAATTGAACTGATACAGATCAGGGCGTTCAAAATTACTATAGTTTTCTGTATGATTTCAGTACTCGTAACTCGATGCTTGCTAAATTTTACTTAACGCGAAGTGGATATAAAGAAGACTTGTCTAGCATCAGTTGTTTCTGAATACCGCTGTGGCTCCGTTTTGCTTCGCCTTTACAAGTAACCAAGTAATTGTAGAAAATCATTACATCATCATCGCAATAAGATACTTTCTGACTAAGTGTACCTATTTGAATTATGCCCTGAACAAGGTACAACATATTAAAATTGCCACGACGTTTGTAACACCCAAAAGGAAACGTCGGAGAATGTATAAGGTATATAAATAAGTATATATAAGGTATATAAACGATCTGGGTAACGAGCAGAGTCGATTTATGTCTGTCCTTTTGTATATACACGAACCAGTCTCTCAGTTTTTGAGAAATCGGTCTGAAATTTTGTACACGTTTTTTTCTCACCAAGAAGTCGCTCATTTGTCGGAACCGATATCGATCTGAACGATCAAGATCAAAATAAAGATATTTTCATACTCTTTTATGCTATAAAAATTCACCTCTGAAGTGTATTATTACTTCGGTGCAGCCGTTAACGTTTTTTTTTTTGTTTTTATATAATACTGGATTTTATGTACGTTTTCGAGCATTCTTATCTAGAGTTCTTGGTAAGTGGCATTTTAATAGTTAAGGAGAGTGACAACATTCAGATTTTTTAACTATGTTTGTTGATATCTGGTTCATATTTAGTAGTAGAGACCTGAAAATTATGAGTAATTTATAGAGAATACGATATTCTAGGAATAATGGAATGGGAACTGTTACCTTACTGCACATTTTTCAAGATGTAGCAAGTTAATACATAGTAATGTTCTTACAAATAATTGGGTACTTAGATATTGTTCTTGAGTAAATATATAAACTTCTGTGGTTTAAAAAAAAATTAAAGAGTACAAGCCCTTTATTTATGGTAGATAACAGGAAAGGTATTTAAAAGTATGATATGACCCAGACAGAGGATTTTTTTTACTTCTAAACTCGGGTTGTTGCGAATATGTGCAGGTACATTGCACGATAAGAGATATGAGCTTAAATATGAAACGTGCTATGGCATTGGCAGATTTTCACGACGTAGACGGCACTGC